TCACGTTTGACAGTTAGATAAAAATAATTCACGTCACCGATGACCACAATTACATGTATTAGGTATACGTGATGCTTGCTTATCTATATATCTAAATCTATTGCTTCATCGACGATTCCGAGATTCCTGGAACGGTAAAATCTGAAGTAAATAAAATAAATAATATTATTCTATCACTATATTAATCAAATAACACAAAACTTTACAAGAATAATAATAAAAAAATATAATACTATCATTAAAAAAATCTGATTCGCAACATCATATTCAAAGTAATTTCCAAACCTCTCACTAAAGTAATACTTTATAGTATATACTATATAATATCAGGTAAGGTAAATCTGTGTCACGCTTAAAATGGTGGCGCGTTTACCAAATTTTAACAATACGCGAAATAAATTTTACTACATTGTTTAATTTTGCATTTAATGAAGAAAAAAAATGTGAAATTAAGTTCTCTATTTCAACAAAAAAAATGTACCATTGTAACGTGGTAAAAGTGTAACCAATTGAATATAAGATACGTTCTTTGAAGAGGCATGCGACCCTGGAATATAGAAATAATTATCGTAACTATGAGTAGATAGATTTAAGTATCTTGAGTATATTCAAATAACAAGACTCAATTATACAGTTATTATAAAACATTTATTGCTTACCAAATACTTACAAATACTTACTGATAAAGTAGATAGGTTAATATGTGGCTGTATCGCAATCGTACGAGATTCAGTATGAAATATGTGGATGTCTAATGTATACAACTAGGTAACTCACCTTAGTCAAATAATCACATGGTGCGTATTGTATAAAGCTCATAATTAATTGTGTGTGAAAATGATATTGTATCTGTCAACAGTTAATCGAATCGTGTCCTTTAAAGTAGAGTTGATATATACATACTACATAGGTATCATGTAACATAATTGTTACACTGTTATATAATTATAAAAGTGTTTTATATACATTACAATATTATAAAAATACAGAGCTCACTGCTCCCAGACTTAATATTTCGTAATTAGAAAAAAGTACTTCATTTTAAATAACTCAATATTTACGTCAACATGTACGTGCAAGTTTATTTTTCATGATTAATTATTTTAGAATAATATAAAGGAATAATTCATTTTTGGGTGAAACTATGCTGCTTTTATTTCATTGCAACATTGAAGGTTAACAAAATACACAATTGATAATAAAAAAATTATAATAAATTTCTATAAAACCGCCATTTCCCTGAAAAAAAAACTATACATACGAAGTAGATACGTTTATACAACTACTAACATTTTTCTAGCACGTGAATTTTTTTTTAAAGCTTTGATTCCAAAATGTTGGGACGTGACCCAAAAAAGGTTCACCATCCCTATTCTATATTGTAAACGCGACCGCTGTCGTCCATATATGTGCTTTTACATATTTTTACATGGCAAAAAAAATATTATTTATGCACATCACCATGTTTTCATTACACTATTTCGTGTTCCATTTAATTAATACGTAGTTAAAAAAATATTGATATCTACCACATTATCTAGTTTTAAAATTATATTAAACCTAGCTTTACCACGTTCTACTATCAAACTACCAATATTTATATTTTATAAATACTAATTTGTTATTAACAAACTTTATTATCATAACATGCGTGTAGTACGTGTATTTCAGTTTGGACAAATATACACGTATTGTTGGTTGATTATAACGATTGTCGAGTGACCGGCTAAAATACTAAAATATTTACCTACTAATTTTTAATAAATGTATTACATACATTATAACAGTGGTACAAGTATACCACATACACAATATACTTTATATATATTACTCATATTTTTTAAAAGGCTCTATTCCGATACAAACATTATAAATACTCTTATAGAGTTAATATGTATTCTACTAATATCAACCTTTAAATATTCTGCGTCTTTCTTTTTTAGTATTAGAGATATATGATATAAATCTACGGATAAGACTATAGAAGACGCTCGACTAAAAATAAACTGTTAAACTGGAAACTGCAGATTGGGAAAAAGGAAGGCTAATATTAGGGGGCTTTATACCTTAGCTCCGAGTCGGCCTATTAAAATGTTACCTATTTAGATGTTAATGTATTATATTATGTTATAGAACTGTACGTATTTATAGTAATATATGATACTGCGGCGACAAATGAGCTACTCAAAAAAAAATAAAACACTCCCCAACGGGTGTTTAGACCCAACGAATCGTTATGACATAGCGAGCCGAGTAGCATTAGCTATTGTACGCTGGGCCCGATCGAAAAAGTCGTTCAAACATTAATGTCATTGCAGCGACTACCCTCCTCGTTAACGCACAAAACACCTTTACCCGCGCGTATATATGTATAATATTATCTAACGTGTTCACGCGCGTGTGCGTTTCGATGAATCTGCGACGGGGTGAGAGCTATAGGCGACGAGTGTATCGTATACATAATAATACATACCCGACGACCGGTTTCGCATGATATGTACACTATACAGGGTGTATTTGTAGGATTTGACGATTTAAATAACTGCTAACCTAACAGTGATTAGAAAATTCTCCGTGTACAACCATGTATAGGGCATACACACCGACATGGCTAATCTATACGCGTGTATACTTTGTAGTAAGTTCAACGACGATAATAATGCATTAATATCGTTATAATATAACCTAATATTATCTAATTGGCACTGTACCACTGCAATGAAAAAAACATTTCTATATATCTATTTTGTTTATTTATTAATTTAATTTGAGCTCCTTGGTCATTATGAGAATATATTGGTCAGTGACACGATCACCCACCGCTAGGTAGCATTAAATGATCAATGAGAGGTGCTATAATGCCACGTATACCATGTGTGTGTGTCACAATTAACATACAGACCAATTATATAACACATACATGTATGATATATTATACGGTTAACGCTTGAAAATATGTAAAACGACTTATAATTTTCCGGAATCGACAAATCAACAAGTCTGCTATTTCCTAGTGTAGTATTACAATTGATATTGAATTGACTGTAGCAAAGAGTAACTCCACAATATCATGTAATATGATATATTTATTATCAATCACGTAGCTGCCTTAAAAATATTTCACGTTCGTCGTTTCTTTCTTAAACATAAAATTCTATATTTTTGTCACGATTCGCGGACCGCGTTCTTATAGGTACTCGTTCCATATGTGCCACGGGCAGGTGCATACGTCATATAATAATAAAAGGTATAAATACAACATATTGACATTGTATTATATTGGTGTACCTATATTGCACGGTGTGAGTGCAATTTTCCAGCCGACAATCAAAATAATAATCCTATTCCGGAATGCGTCTGTCCGACAGCTCATCGTGTGGGGGGTCTTGTACGAAGTTTATGCAACCCGAATACCGCTGAGAAAACAATTCGGTGTTTTACAAAAACTAATGCATTTTTTGCGTCAACGAACGCAGTCGAACCGCACTCTCCGTACAGTTAGAGCGTAAGACGCGCCCCGACAACGTCGAATAAGATCCACCACCAACCGAGTACCTGCCTAAAACGGCCTACTATATTACATACTATAACTATACGCACATTTGTGACACTATATTAATATATATATATATATATATATAACACAATTACAATATATATCGTACGTAGTATAAAGGTACACCTGGTCCGTTGGCGTCACACCGGCTGGGATATAAGGGTTCGTCGGCGGCGGAATTTCCTCTCGCGCTGAATGATATGCCTGCGGGTATTGTGTTCTTTCATACAACCCATGTGCGTCTACCGTATATGCACTTGGAATCGTCTTTTGTCGTCATTCATTTCTTACAAGTCGTGCGCGAGTGTGTGTGTGTGTGTGACTTACCACCGGCTACGTACACGACAAACGCGTATACGAGTGTGTGCGTTAGTATAATGATATGATGTACCATATATGATATATATTATATACACAGGACGATAATCGCGTGCGTACACGACGGGGGGCGACAATAAAAACCCCGGACGGAGTTTGACGGCGGACAACAATGGGGATGACGCTGTGTGACTTTGCGACGGGACTACTGCCATACCGCCGTCGATCGCGGGCGAGAGTGATAGTCGAGTCGAGGGGTTAGCGGTGGGGTAGGTTAGGTCGACGGGAGCATTGTCGCGAGCATATATTATTGTGGTGTCGTCCAGAACGTTTAATACTCGTCCAATCGTAACACATATTAACGTATATACAGCTGGGTGCAGGTCGCACTGCGGCGCGCGAGAAGGTATTACACGTATAATATATTATGTAAGCACCTCCGCAGTATACGGTGCGTTGAGATCACCGTGTCGCCGGCGCGTGCATCTCGCGATCAAACTTTAAGCTTATACGGAAGCACGCAATCACTGCTGTCTTGCCTATTTCCTCCACTGGTTTCGCAACGGATATTATTATTATCGTTATTTTTATTATTATTATTATTATTATCATTATTATTATTATTATTATTATTATTATTATTATTATTATTATTATTACTATCAAATACGCGGATTTCGTTCTGGCGGCTGTGTCTAGAAAGACGGTATATTCGCTGGGTAGGTGCGGGTACTATTACGGCATATAAGTTCGAATCGCCACCCCTGACTGCACGGGCAGCATCTGCAGATCTACTCTGCTGCAGTATACGCTCCGACAAGCACCCTGTAGGTAGACGATCGCCGTCGGAGGGTTGTGCGCCACTAGGGTCGGGTGACGGAGGGTGTGTGTGTGACGTACGTGCGTGCGTGCGTGCGTGCGTGCGTGATCGCGTTACCGCGTATTGTCGTCGTCGGCGCGCGCGTCCAGAATCAGTTAGTCGCCGTCAGTATCCACAGCGCGATGACCGATTTCACTAGCGCTCGACAGCCGCAGCAGCCGCGGCATCCGCAACCGCGGCTGGTGCCGGCCGCTGTGGCCAGACCGCCGTATTTCGATTTTAACGACATTTTCGGGTGTTCCGCAGGGAAGAAATTGTCGCCGCCCATGACGACGTCGGCGGCCGGGACACCGACGCCGGCGGCCAACGGCGGTGCCGGCTCGGCGACGGCCACCGCGACGACGGCCGCCAACGCCGCCGCGGCCGCGGTCAACAACAACAACAATCACAACAACAACAACAACAACGGGTCGTCGATCAAACAGCAACAGCAACAGCAGTCGTCGGCGGCCGGCGGCCAGCAGCTACAGATGTCCGCGGCCGCGGCGGGCTGCTGTCCCGTGTGCGGGACGGCGCTCCGCACGGCCCACGAGCTCGAGTCGCACTTCATCTGGGAACTGGAAATGGCTGCGGCCAAGCAAAGGCAATACGTAACTGGAACGAAGTACACCGA